CTGCAACATTTCATCATTGATCACCGCATCTAGTACATTCCAAGGCAACGTTTCCACCTCCATGATCATAGATGGGCGATTTTGGTCAGTACCCTTCTGGCTCTCATTGAGGAGTGTCATCTTGCTTCGAAGTAGTTTTTACCTGCGTATACGCAGGCAGTGATAATTTGTATTGCGTAATGGTATTTGCTACATTTTCCGACCGCTCGCTGTCGAAAATGCCACAATAGCTCAGGACGTGTTGATTTTATCACCGTCGGTGGAAATCACAGATAATTCTAAAATAAATAAAATACTACAGTATATTCAGATAAGAGATAGACCGGACATAAACAAGACCACGTGATCATCGAACGCTGTAACATTCGGCAGGGACGTATTAAGAGTCACGCAGTACATATTTTAGATAGTAGATGCTGCTTTGCGTAACTTTGTAGTAAATTAGCACAATTCGATGTGTATACGATTTGTGATGGATATAGGATCATGTGAGGGTGGGGTAAGAAATATATAATGATGTAAATATACATAAGGGTTTCAAAATTTTCGCTTCGATTTCCAGCTTCGGATGCCGCCTGATGTTTGGTGAAATACAGTCGAATATAATCTCAAAATGGCGTTTAAATTAGCCTAAATTAAAAATAATCGTATATCTCTTAAAATTGCTTTTAGAATATTGATTAGTATATTTTTTGATTTCTAGGTAAATATGTAACCAAATTAAAACGTTCAAAACGTAAAAAAATGTGCATGGTTGAACATTGTCAGAAAGTAGATTCTTGAATAGGTTTTGCCAAAATGGGTTCAAAAATGTCAATAATTAATTAAAAAATACAGTAGCTTTATAATTACTTATAACTTACCGAATTTGATGAACGACATCTTTTATTGGAAAGATGATCTTGATGAGCTTTCATCATCGCTACTGCCTGAAGCACCAACGTCAATAATGAATGGCTCGACTTGTTCCTCTAAAATATTGTCCAGTTCCCACATTCTCTTTTCAACTTTGTCTTTCACGTGCTTAATACAGTTTTCCCATTTTTGCGCTGATGAGCTTTCATCATCGCTACTGCCTGAAGCACCAACGTCAATAATGAATGGCTCGACTTGTTCCTCTAAAATATTGTCCAGTTCCCACATTCTCTTTTCAACTTTGTCTTTCACGTGCTTAATACAGTTTTCCCATTTTTGCGCTGTTATTAATTCTAGTGCTTCTTTGAAAAGTCCTTTGAGGTCACAAAATTTAAAAGTTGTATTGTGCTTAGCTATATAATTTTTAACCTCTGCCCATATGAGCTCAATGGGATTGAGCTCGCAATGGTATGGAGGTAAACGGAGCACAGTTTTATTTTGACTTGCTGCCATTTCGTCAATGGCGTATTTTTGATATTCCGCCTTGTGATCCTTGACAATTCTTAATAATTGTACTTTCAGCATTGCTTCTTCAAAGTTAATATTTTTCGAGCGGAGCCAATTTTGAACATCAACTTTCCTTGAAGCCGTTGTTGGGACCTTCTCCATTCTTCGAGAATGATAAGGCGCATTATCCAACACAATTACTGCGTTTTCCTCTAAGTTCGGTAAAATTTTTGAAAACCACTGTTCAAACGATTCGCCATTCATTTCCTCGTGGTAATCTCCAGTTTTCTTAGACTCAAAGCACCACAGACCGTCAGCAACAAATCCATTCTCACTGCCAATATGGCAGATAATGAGCCTTTTCCCTTTACCTGGAAATCGAAGTACTAACTGATGTAGATTTATTTCAATAAGCGAACCTTTTTCAAATGTTTTCATCACATTCAGCGAAAAAACATTGAGACATGAGTATCAGATTGCTATAATTGGGATTATTTAGTCATATTGAAAGAAAGAATATTGAACGTCGTATGATTACTCAGCGCTTCACAATTTAATTTAAAGTTATAAACCTTTAAAAAATGAATGATCAGGAACCTGAAATACGCGCAAATATTAATATTAACAAATTATAACTTTATAAAGCTTAAAGTATGAAAATGATTAGAAATATTAGGAACGGTACACAATATAAAACTTAGTAACTTTTTTTAAGTTTATAATATTCGACATATTTTAAGATTATATTAAAAAATTATTGAAATATCGAAAACACATAAAAACATGGCTTAAAAAAGTTCTAACAAATGAAAATGACAATAAAACATCCACGCATTTTATCGAAAGTTATAAAAGTTTTGTTACTTGTAATATGTTTTATCTGCCCCCTGGAATTAATGTTTAGAACCTTGTTCCCAAGGTTTGAAAAACATCCGATTGTTGTCTATTACTCGTATTTACCTGCTGGATTTTTTAATCCGGTGGACAGTCCATCTAGAAAGGTCCTCCTGGATGAAGTTACAGAATCATCAACCCATACTTTACTTGTAGTGTGTCCTGCGTTTACCCACGTTTCATCAAAGTAATAAATCTTCCTGTTTTGATTTCTATATTTCCCAATTTTTGTTAAATAATCCCTCCTCCATAGCACAATTTCTTCTCTATCCAGTAGTAAACTATTACGACCCCGTTTTTTTCCATTTGAAATTTAAATGCTTCAGTAACGCATGGAAAGTTGATCGTTTAAAATTTGGCAACGTTGTATCTCCATTTACCTCCTGCAGTACTTTATCTATAGTAGGTATTTCATTCCTAAAGAAGAATTCATGCACTTTCCTCCTAATCGCATGCTTATCAGCTTCATCCAATGATTTAACAATACTTTTGCGATGTTTACTGGTCATTGGCTCAGAAAAGGTGTGATTTTTTTTGTATTGTCTTAACACATTAAACACTGATGCGCGACACACCCCAACTTTGTGAGAAACCTTCACAACAATTTCTTTGATGGTTGATGCCTCGTTCTCCTCGCGCTCGATCTTATATATATTCAAAATGACCTCTTTCATTTCTGCACTCAGGTGTCTTTTTTTAGAGCGTTTCCTAGGTGGACTACAGGAGTTTACAACTTCATCGGCAGTATCTGTACTACTGGGCATTTTGCGCAAGCAGTTGATAACAATAACAATCAATAACAAGGTATAACAATAACAACGACAAACTCAACAACTTAATAAGATAACAAACGAAAACGTCCAAAGAAATATCAAATTGCAATGATGCACACGACATACGTTACACGTCTGAACCTTAATGTGACTCTGCCTTGATACGACTGCTCTGCCGCTCGGCATAGGCATTTAATTGCGAATTGACCAATGAGGGTTCCTGTTTTACGTCGAGACGGCGGCGTTAGCGTGAAAATCACCCGAACCTTTTGTTTACATCCGGTCTATCTCTTATCTGAATATACTGTAAGTCGCATCAAATTGAAATAAATAATTCTAATCAAAATGAAAACGAAATACCAAATTAAATGTTCGAACAGACCTCCTTCCTGGGTTTGACAGCAACCTAACCTATTCTAGAAGCCTGTGTGATCATTATCTGGTGTAACATTTTGGCAACGCGGCAGATTGCTCGACCTTATGCGTCACCGTTGCTATGTAATGTGGTGATGACCTTCAACATGCGTTGATACACATTTCTCGTGCTTCTCTCTTGTACACATTGAACTCAAGCCGTCAGACAAATTTGGTTTTCCCTGTATGCGGAGAAAACAGTAGCTAAGGCGAATGTTTCTCACTCAATATCTTCAATGAATTGGTTGAAAATTTCTGATCTTTTCAAATACAACTTTGTTACATTTGTCGTAAAAATATTAAAAACTTCTGTTCCAGTTTTTCTTATGCAAAAGCTTGTTCGTAGGAATTTAATTCACAATTTGAATACGCGCAACATTAATCTCCTGACAATGCCACAACATAGGACAGCCATTTTTCAACGATCTTTTACGTATAATGCGGTGAAATTGATCAATTCGAACAATGTTTTATCAGCAACTTTTCTAAAAAAAATATAAGAACTACTTATTGAGCTCTTAGGTTATTGTCTTCTCTTTGAATCGTACGTATTATGTTTTTTGTTCTAATCGTACGCATTATGTCATATTTATTAATTTTTCTTTTACCATTATTCTTCTTTTTCCTTTTCTTTTTCAGTTTTTTATTTTATTTTTAAGGTAGTAATAAGCATTGACATGACATTTATGGTTAAGTATAAATGGCCATTGGCCAGACTTCGCCATTTGTAAGGATACATAATTATGTATGTGTTACAATAAAGTCCATTGAATTGAATTGAATAAAATTGGAGCGAGGTAAGAGATGACTCCAAAAACATGGAGTTCACAAAACAGCTGATGGCGTCTAATAAACACAAATGAGAACATTTAGTCGGGAATAAATGCGGTTCTCTTGCAAAGATTTGTAAGTCACACTTTTTGCAAGAGAAGCTATTCTCAAGACCTCTAAGTTATTCTATACCTATTTAATTTTCATGGGCCTACGCGGAATTCTGCACGACTTAATTTGGTAATGAAAGAAGTAAGTCAGCTTGAAATTCAAAAGTTTTCTTTGTCTCAAATTGCTTATTTGACCAATCGTCGATCTATTTGAGACGGAATGATTATTTATTTCGTATGACTTTTGGATATAATCACCGAAAACCGCACTCTATACTGCTTAGTATAAATGTGGCGTTTTCTAAATATTTTATGGTAGCTTGGCAACACCGCCTGGCTAACCAAGGATGGACCGCTCGGTGGACCGCACATGAATCGCTGTGTTTATTTGTAAACCTGTAATAGTCCAAGAGCCGACCTCAAAGTTTTGATCACATCTTGTACTGATATGGGATATTAAGAACTAGTTAAATCTTTGTTGGTCCGAACAGCGGAAGACATTCCACGAACTATATTTGGCTTTAGTCTGAAACTGCGTGGTGGCCACGTTTTTTGATTTTCCCCAAGATGGGGGAAAACGTCGCACAGGTATTTTTGCTCCTAACTATGACACATTCTGGCATATAAAACTACAGTTGAAGGGCTCACCTAAAGAATCTTCTTTTCTTTGTTGCAGTTATCGGACGAGGTGTCAAGAAAAAAATCGGAATATCAAAAGTACTTGGAACTTTATAAACTCTCCAGGAATAAATTCGAGGAACACTACGTTAAATGTAAGTCATTTAATATCATTTTTTCATATTTAAAGCATATTATTAAGGAATGTTTCCTGATGTATAGATAGCGAGTCAAGAACAAGAAGATTTGCTACCATATGATATGGAGTGATGCATTGTTCGTATCGGTGTCTAAATTTCACATCAGAAATGGTTGCATCATTTCTTCGAAACCTATCCATGACTACAAAAATAGGCTTCTGAATCGCTGAATAATCTTCAGCAGGTCTTTTCAAATAGGTATTTGAATTTTTTTCTCTCACTACGGCATCGATTCCACATGTCAACGCAAGTGTTTTTGTATATCGCCGAGGATTTATTTACTATACTAAGTGACTTATAAATCCGAACACCCAGTTTAAATGGTTTTATTTTAATAAAATTACTTAATGAAGCATAATAAGTAAATGATACAAATTTCAAAATGATTGCACTGCTTTAAAGCCCTTAGACCTTTAATAATGTGTGGATGCACCCTGATGTGCTATGCATTCTCCAACGCGCCTGGGCATGCTTCTGATCAGGTGGTCAATGTCCTCCTGTGGTATTTCATTCCAGGCAACCACCAACTTCTCTCGAAGTGCTTCTAGAGTCTGAGGAGGACGTTGCAGATTGAGCAATCTCCTACCCATCATATCCCACACGTGCTCAATTGGGGATAAGTCGGGAGATCTTGGTGGCCATGGTAACAATGTGACATCATTATGTTGAAAGAAGTCTATTGTGACTCTTGCAACATGTGGTCGGGCATTAACTTGTTGGAAAGTTGGATCTGCCACGGTGTCAAGATAGGGTAAAAGGTGGGGTTCTAGAACTTCGTGGATATAACGCTACGCGTTCATGTTACCTCTGATGAAGATTAAAGGTGACCTGAAACCATAAGCTATAGCACCCCAAACCATAACTCCAACAGTGTGATGAACATGTCTTTCAACAAAAAACTGTGGATTCCTCCTTTCACCACGTCGCCTTCTAACCCTGGCACGACCATCGTGTATGCCTAAACAAAATCGAGACTCGTCACTAAAGACAATACTGTTCCATTCCTGATCCTAGAGTGACCGTTGTCTGCACCACTCAAGGCGATTACGTCGGTGTTCTCGAGTTAAAGGGAGGACCCAGTGTGGCCGGTATGAAAACAAGCCAAAACTTCTCATTCGTCGGTAAACACTTCGCATGCCAATAGGTCTTCCGTGTTCTGCAAACCATTCATTTGCAATGGACCTGGTAGTGGAGAAACGGTCCCTTAAGGCCAATAATCTTAGGCGGCGATCTTCACGGTCAGTTGTCCTACGGCGGCGTCCAGTGCCCCTTGCTCTTTGCGTACGGCCTTCTCGAAGCCATGCCTGACAACACCTAACCACAGTGTCTATACTTCTTTGCACTCTAACTGCAATTGCCCGAAAAGAAAGTCCAGCTTCCCGAAGTCCCACTATACGGCCCCTATCAAACTCACTAAGTTGACGAAATCGTACAGGTCTCCGTACTCTAGGCATCGTAACCGATCGTAAAGGGTGTCAAGAACCAAAATCCGCCAACGTTGATTCTTTACTACGGCTGAAATATTCGTTTTTAGAGCGTTAGTGAATTAAAAAAAGCAGTATAAAAACCGGAATGTCCAACTGATAAGGCTGAAAATTTTTTCACTTGTTATTTACAGTAAGATAAATACATTCACCAACTTTTATTGAAATAAAACAATTTAAACTGGGTGTTCGGATTTATATGTCACTTAGTAATCTTAGTATATACAGGGTGGCTTCGAAGTTGAGTCATTTATTTTAACAGTGAGTAGATCTGATCAAAAGAAATGTTTTTTTCCTTTACCATTTTTCTGGTAAAATTAAAGTAACAAAGTTATAGCCCTTTGGAAGTTTGAGTACCGCCCTGTTCAATAATACTCGTAATATCATGTGCTCGTGTTTGGCAACAACGGATATAATCCGTCTCGGTTCATCGCATCGGAAACAAAAAAGCGAAAGAATTTGTAACGATGTTTTACAATTATTTTCTTCAGTTCAGTTATACATACAGTTAGTGTCAGTCGGTAAGGTGTGTGAATAGTGTTTGTTACGTGGCTTAAACGAAATAAAAAATGGCACATGTTTATGCGGATCGGTTTCCCAATCGAGTGCAACCAACCCCTCGTGCCTTTGTTAATGTAGTACAACGGGCTCGTGAATCAAGTGACTTAAGACCTCACAGGAGACCTCACGATCAAATACAGGTCCGCACTGAAATACTTGTCGGGAGGATACTTTATAAAACAAGGTAACCATTTTTTTTTTATTTTTTTTTTATTTTTACACACATATTTTGGTTTATCTTCCTTCTACAATCATTATCTGAAAATTAATGACTCAACTTCAAAGTCACCCTGTATATCTAGACAATATTTTTGAGCCAATAAAGAAAAATAATGAAAACATGTTATTTCAAAGTTCATTATCGCCATATTTAATAAAAAAGTCGGTACAAATTGATCAAAATCAGAAAAATCACGATTCAATCGAAAGATCCAGATTTTTTTAATCAAAAAAATCTTGATTTTTCCAACACCGCTTTTCCGGTGCCTTCCGTTCAATCGCTACACGAATAATTTTGTTAATATAAAACAACGCAACACATTATAATAATTTTAATCAACAAAAATATGAGCGTCATTTCCATGAAACTTTTAATCAATGGTACGTGAGCGTAGCGAATTCGTATTCACGAATTCAATTTATTGAAGCTTTGTTCGATAATTATTTCAAGATATTGCAAAAAATTATGCAACCATAAGCTATTATATTTAACGACTATTTTAAATGGGATATTTAAAAATAAATGCGCACATGTAAAAAGTTTTCGGCATCATTTTTACTTCTGTTTTCGTGTAAACAGGGTGTTCCAATATTCCATGTCTGTTTAGGCTCATAATAAGTCGATTTATCTCAATGCAGAAGTGTTTCGTTTGTCCGTTAGAGGGCGTTATAGTTTTCTTTTTAAAACACATTTTTTTAAGATATATTTGGAACCAATAGTCCGGTTTGAATGAAATCCGCAGTTTACGCTGGCTGATGTTAACACTTAGCATATTATATTGAAGCAGTAAAAAGAAACCAAAGGAAAATTTATTCGTCAGACCTACCATAAAGTGAGCCAGAAAGTTCTTCTTTTACCTTGGGCTGATGGACGTTCTTTGACTAAACTAAAGTTTTGCTTTGGTTTTCTCATCTACGAAGTCGTCCTGAAATTCCATAAATGTTGGCAGAACATTAAGCTTATTATGTCATTGCCTTGGTACAAAATTCACGTTCAAACTTCAGGGGGCTAGGTTTGCCACCTCTCATTGTAGAAAATATACCACGCAGTCTGTTTTTAATTTTCGGGAAAGTAGAGAAATCGTTAGGACTTGGATCGGGACTATATGGAGGATGGTCCAATAATTTTTTTTTCGTTAAATACTGCCTTGTTTTTTGGGCCGTGTGCGAGCTTGGATTGTCTTGGTGGAGGATGATTCTTCTTTAGGGGTTGATTTTTCGAAGCTCGGTGATGATTTTTGGCAAACAAATGGTGGAATACCAATCCGCAGTAACAGTTCTTTGCGCATTAAGACGAATTGTTGCAATTGTAACGCTTCCTTTCCGCAAAAAGTCCAGAAAAGATGGAATACAATGAAGATTCCAACTTTTCTGCACAATCACAGAAAGGGGGTTACCATTAGCTTCCGGTAGCTCAGTCGGTGGCATGAAGACATCTACAGGCGTGTAGCTGTGTGTCGACCATGGCATGGCTAGAGGATAGAAGAACAAACAGAACACAAAAATTTAACAGATTTTATTTAACAAAAAAAGCATTTTCATTACATTACAATTTTACAGTTTTAAAGAACAAAATAAGTTTTACATCTTTGGCGCTGCTATAAAACTATCAACTTATCTTTCGCTGGTCCATTTTGACTGGACTGAAGCGAGGATGGCCAGGTGCTTGAAGTGGAGGTCCCAGTTATGAGGGGTTACCTCACATATAGTGGCTTCAAAACCAGTTGTAGGCGAAGTTGAACTTAAAGGCGATGGCGCTGCCAAGGCACATGCATGGGTGAAGTGATAGGCCAAGCAACGCAAAGTCAATGACTAAGGCAAAAGCAAAGTCAAAGACAAAGGCAAAGGGAAAGAGAAAGGGAAAGGGAAAGAGAAAGAGAAAGGGGGTGGCCCCAATCATTTTGTCCTATTCGGACACACATTCTACAAAATTCTAGCACATGGTGCTATATGACCTTGTGATACAGAGAAGAAAATTCTTAGCTCTTTTTCGATCGGCGGCTCAAGCGGAAAATTTTCCAAGTAAAAAAGCTAGAGATGGGATTAATGAAATGATAATCGAGAAGTGATTTAATAAATACGATCGGACGGTGAAACCGTTACACAATATGACCCGCTTTTGACACAAATGTCGCGACCATCTTTTTCGAAACACTTCGAGAACGGATTACTTTTGTTGGCTTTTCTTCACCCTGGAACACCCAAACAGCCGTCGTTTATTTTCTGGTTCATAGCAGTAAATCCACGAGTCATCAGAACTAACAATGCTGTACACATTTTCTGTGTTTCCAGAATTGAAACGGTCAAGCGTTTTTTGATATCAATTAACCCTGGCTGCTTTCTGCTCGTGAGTCAACAGGTGGGGTGTCCAATGAGAAACTAATTTTCTTACTCCTAATTCTTCATGTAAATGTCTATCTTCAATGATGAGTTTGCGCGCAGCATCGACGTTTTCCTGGGTGACTGCCGTTTTTGGTTCACCCACCCTGGAATCGTCGCTAAGACTCACCCGTCCCCGTTTGAATTCTCCATACCAACGGGAAATTGTCGACTGATGTGGCGCGTCGTTGCCGAAAACAGACAGTAACTCAACAAGGCATTCTTGTTGCGATAATTGTCTCTGAAAGTTGGGATAAATTATGGCGCGAAAATGTTCTCGGTTGAGTTCCATTTTTCTAATACCTTGGTGACACTTAAAAATTCACTGTAGTGAGAACACTGCACGTATTGAATTTAAGTTTACTAAAGAGTGAAGTTAAGAT